TCGCTGAGTGCGTTCCTGACGTAGTACGGCAGAGAGATGAACAAGTGTGAGACAAAGTTTTGTTATTTTGTTCTCATTGAAAAATCACCGTGGCTGTAGGATTGTCCTGCATTCACGTGACGCTTCAGACCTGTTCCACAGTTTTTGGGAAAACAGACGTCAGAACTTTCGTATGAATGAATTATTAGCAGGTGGCACCACTGTCGATGTGCGTTTTACGTGCTAGTTGGAGCAGGACGCTGGTTTTTGGACAGGGACGAGAGAGTCGGCTCATGCCGCGGTTTGTAACCCGGTCCTTTGTGTTGAGATCTGATGTCAGCGTGCTCCTTGGTGAATGTCCGACCGCACTCTTATTCATTTTGAAAGATCTGGTTTTGTAAATTGCTTACAATAATTGTGCTTGTTCAACTGAACCCTAATAAACCATGCAACTGCACAGACTTCGTTGTTCTCTTGAGTGCGTGTGGCGGGAGTTTCAGAATTGCCGGTTGTCCCGGAACTGGGAACGCACCAGCGTTTTGAAGCCTGTGAAGAGGTCCCGGTTCCGAAACGGCGCGGCGTGTGAAGTCGACTGAAGGCCGTGCTCAGTGAAGATGCAGTCTGGTGCTTTTATTTTATCTAATGCAGCTTGAGAGGCCATGACATAGCTCAGGTGGTTAGTCACTACCTTCTTACCACAAATGCCCAGTTTTCCTCAGTCATTATCTTTGCACCGCTGCCCCATATTCACTCGCGTATCATTTCGGGGGTGTGCAATGGGCCCGTTTTCACAGAGACATAGTCTCGCCCCATTGCAACAAAGAGAGAAATCTTGCCTTACAGTCGGTGATTATGAATTTTTAGTGGTAATGAGTTTATAAATGTTTTATTTTGCCCTGCATACTGTAAAATAGGCAAAATGCGTTACCAGTGTTTCAAAGGAAATTACTGCCTCTGTCTTAAGTGCTGGAACATGACCCAGAAGACCAAAGTGGTAATGAACCCTGATCCTTGCAGGGCTACATCCAAATCCCAAGGCGGTCATGGCTTTTTGGTCGTTCCACGTTTCGTCTTCCCGTCGGTCGGCAACGGGATGCAGTGTGTCCAAATGATTGCTCCAACTTTGTTGGTGCTCCTGTGCGTCTTAAACCTTCAGTTTCTTTGGTGGTCCAGTCCAGTAAAACTTGGCACTGGTCGAGAAACGTGTGTTAGTTGATCGTATGCATTTCTGTGTATTCAGATAGCCGCTGTTTAATATTTCGCAGTGTTTCATCGTAATAGCTCTGTTCGACTCCATTAAAAAATACGACGACGATAATTATCAGGAGAGTTGCCTGTTCTCGAAACGTCGGCGACCTAGCATCCGAAATTCCAGTCGACCAAGATTAAAACCGATGAGAGGCAAACAACAGCGTCTGATCCCTGAACTATTACGAACATCAACAAACTACGCGGCTTTTATTATGCAGAGAATGTTTATCGTGTCATTAGGAATTTATGAAGTAAGGCAAGTTAAGATGAATTCAAACAAATCCTCTCTCGGAATTTATTCCACATCTGAGTTTCGTTCGAATTACAGTCGCCTCCCTCGCGGGCTTTGTAGGAAACTTTCAGAGAGGATTACAAAGAAGGAAAACGCTTTCATCATCATCGCTGATGAAGCCCCCGTTAAGATCCTTAGAGATTCAGATCAGCTGAGAAAAAGAAAGCGAAATACTTTGTAGATTGCTTTTCGCGTCTCCCGAATTAAGCGTGGACCAGAGTCGTAACGCATTTTAAAGTTTGCTTTTGAGCGACAATTTTTTTTATTCAGAATTGACAATGCTTTGGGTTCTGTACGTTAACTGCTGTAAAGCATTTGTACGTAGTTTAACTGGTTTCAAGCCCGATGGTAACTATATATACCACCTGTTTTAAAATTCACAGACCATTCACCGTGAATAACAAAATAGAAATGCATGCAATCAACTGGTGGCCATACTTATCAGCTTTATGCATCAAGGGGTATCTGATATATTTTGACGGTATTAAATTGTTTTATGGAAGTCAAACTCTGAGTAATGCAAATAAAACGCTAGCTTATGAAACACGCTACCATCTGTGGATAATATAACAAAATGTCGATAATGCAGGAACGAATTATTATTTACTCGAGACGCTGATAAGATAGGATGAGATTGGCGAAGTATGGAAAGTTCTCTTCGTTTCATAATTAATCCCCCCGAGATGCACGTACAATAGAATTCACTCTTTTCCACATTCCTGGGTCTAAATATTGTCACATAAACGTAATGAGTTTTCAAAAGAAACTTCTCGCGTCCCTCATCTCTGACTGAAAGCACAGAAAACTTTTCGGTAAAGTCCATTACATTTGTGGATGATTGAACGACATGGGGAATGTGGGATTTTGAATCCGAGGTTCAAACTTCAACCAAGTCCGTAGTTACGTGTGTTTTATGAACTGAGGAAGTCGCCATGTCAAAACGTAGAATTCACGTGTAACTAGTAACAATTTTGAATAGGGGAAGTTTGGAATTTAAATACAAAATTCACATTTACAAATTTTCCTCAAGTAAATGTGCCAAGAGTGAGCAGTGAGTTCATTTTCGTCGTTCTACAATCGGACTGAGCGTCTCTGAAATCGCTGTGCAGTCGCAGACAGTTTTTAGTTCGCGTATCTTTGAGGTGGACTGTATCGAGAACATTTGCAGCCGAGGCAGGGGTCATGTCAGTTCCTCCTTCATGGCGAACAACTGGCGTGACCAGCATTCATGCTCAGGGTGAAGATTATTTCGTAAGAAAACAGCGTAGCTCAGCGTTTCTTGATCGCTTCCAAAAAGCACCGCAGTTTCTGTGGCAGGTGGGACAGGTCGGTGTTACGCATTTACGGTGAAGATTTCGATCGTAAGTAAATGCAGAAACGTTCCAGCAAAAAGAAATTTCCGTCAACCAACTGCCAAAATACAGCCCATTTTAATGTGAAAGTCGAAACAAGACGTAACAGGGTTTTTTTAATTTTATATTTGACCTCAGTTGTGGAGGACGCCCTGAGGTTGCTTGTACGCCGGTCAGAAATTATGAGAAGTAAATATTATTTTTGCTGGGGGTAGAATATTTGCTATTTCTTTACGCAGTCATAAGAAAATATGAAATAAATTCGTCTCGATTCGGTTACTGGGTTTAAAACACAAACTGTGGGCCCTTAGACCGATTTAGTGAGTCTTTTCCTTGTAGACACGAGTAGAATATTTTATGTCTCTCTTCGGTGTTCAAACTTTGTCAGTTGATCGAAAATATTTCAAAAAAAAATTCAGTGATCCCGAATTCGTATGGCGCGTTCGAAAGAAGACAGACGAATTTGTATTACAAGTCAGTGGTTCGACACCCTGAAACCCGCTGCAGGTGACCGAGCCAGCCATCTACTTCGAACATTTCTGAAGGCCGCAAATGTTGTTTAACTGCGCAGGTAATTTTGTTACGGAAGATGAAGGTGAATTACTGGAGTCGGTTTGAAGTGCAGGGAGCGAAACGCAAATTGACTGGCCTCGCACTTGCGCTGATACAATTTGCTCTCCTCCACGCAATTTCTTCTTCCCCCGAGTGCGGCTGCCCTGTTTAATCTAATTGCACGACGCACACCGGATTCAAATGCGATGGATCGAGCGATCAAATCCAACGTAAAACTCCTTACCATGTGTCGTTCTATCGGCTTTATAAGCTACACTTTTCTAATTACTGATATATTTGAGATTACTCAGGCAAATATTTAGTGCAGGAACTTTTTTCAACATTACGTTCATTCATTAAATTAACTAGCGTCCCAAACAAGTTTAATCGCCCATTTAAGAGACGATAACCAATTAATTCTCCCCAGTGATCTTTGTTATCTTAGGCTTGTGGCGTTATTTTAAACATGAGTGAGTTTTCATATCACCGGCGCCGTAATCACTGTTTGGAACGCGTTAACAGTTGCAGAACACGCGGTCCTGCGGTCTGCATGCCTTTCCAATCGTTTTCTTGGCGCTGTGTCGGTCACGCAGAGTGCTGCAGTTCCACCTCCGCCGAAGGGTCGCCGAGGCGCTGCATGTGGTGATGGTTCTCAGTAGCGGCCACGCGTTTGCGGTGTGCGTCACGCGACATCCAAGGCGAACGATGCGCTTCGAATTCAAAGTCTAGAGGCGTTTTGATAAATGTCTGTTCCGTAGAAAAGTGTTTGAAGAATGGACAGTTCTTTTGAACGTGTGGCTCCGCCATTGAATTCGATACGCGCTCCGTCTCCGTTTCGCTGCTAAGAACACACACAGCTCGTTAATGTCTGGCTGAGAATTTTTCACATTAAATCTTTTAATATTTAATTTTTTCTTTACACAATGGATATGTGCAGCGTAATAAAGTTTCTAATCGTGGAAATATCCCCGCCGATCTAATTAAACCTCAATGACAAGTCGAATATGCAAACAAAACTTATCTTCACCCAGAAAACACTTCATGATAAGACCGATTTTCGAATAGACACGTCGTGTGTTGAATTTTTGTACTTGGGTTTAAATCCTTTGGTAGGCGAAGATGTTTATTAATGTAAATCCTATCGCTGTGTGTGCGCTGGAATTAGGAGCAGATTTCTAGATTATAAAAATAGACATCGGTCGATTGGAAGTGACAAATGATTTTGAAACTGCGTTCATTATCTGAGTTGGAGATAAATTATCTTGAGTCTGCTCGCTGATGCTTTCGCATTAGTGGTGAAATGCAAGGACAGTTGGTGGCTTCCGTAACGTATGGCCTGTTACAATTATCTCAAGTCCCGTAGTTTAATAACC